CCTCCACTAGAACTTGAAGCATGAGATGAATATCCTTCAGATGATCTTGATGTCTGTTCAGCTGATGAAATACTAGGTGTTTCTAGAGAATGGGACGACCTTTGAGATCGTTGCATTTGTGCTCTTTGCTTCATCATCTCTAACAAGGAAGAGCGTCCTTGCCCATTAAGAGGTTGCTTATTAGGATCCATTTTGTGTTCTGTAATTTTTAAAATAGATATACATATTAATACTCATTAATATATACCAATATTATAAATATTTAGAAATTCGATTACTTCACTTAATATCCAAATAGTAGCGATTTATTTCCAAGTAGGAACATGCCAAAATATTAATCTTTATATAGATGTACATATTAATACTCATTAATATATACCAATATTATAAATATTTAGAAATTCGATCACTTCACTTAATATCCAAGTAGTAGCGACTTATTTCCAAGTAGGAACATGCCAAAATATTAATCTTTGAAATTTAATAATTTCATGCCCCTTTCAAATACGAGTATAAGTTTTAAATCAAATAAGAAAGCGCCAAATATGGCTCTAAATATTGATGCCTAATAATATCTCTAAATGTAAATTGTAATATATTTTTCAATTATATCAAAACGGTTTATATTTATGTATATTTTTTAAATAATTTTCTATTAATATTCCGCAGTATCTCTTTGTTGGGATTGTGATTAAAACCTAAATTTGAGAAATCTATCTAGCTAAGAAATTTATTTAGTTTTTCAGCATATTAATATCTTTTTAACAGGATGCCTGATTGAGCAAAATCAAATTATTAAAAACAGCTTGTTAATTTAATACGTGATATTACTACAGTAGTTTAATTGCGTTTATAAGTTCGGAAAACCAATTCGGCGCGCAGTACGAATGACTACAAATGGTAATAAGCAAAGGATAATAATAAAATTCAGTTTATTACTTCATAATCTATATATGTATCAATAACTATATATGTATACAAATAAAGTACGGTATCTTGATTTGGAATGTTTCGGAATATTTACTTAGCTCTCTTCAGCCATAAATAAATTAATATATATAAATATAAAAATAATGCATAGATGACTATAATCTAATGCCAGAAACTGAAAGACGCATCTTACATACAATATTCACAAAAAGTCGCTCAATATGGTCAATCAGCAAGACAATGTGATCTGAGCATCTACTATGGAGCAGGTCGGAATGGATTCCGATCGGAATTATTCCGTTTTCATTGTAAAACACAATAGAAATCTGGAGAATAATTGAATAATTTCGATTGGAATCCGACTTATTCCGTGATAGAGATGCCCTGGATTCTGATGTCATTTAATTTTAACAAAGAATTCTTTGCTATGCTTCTCTTTGTTTTAAATATTAAACAGACTCATAGCAAGAATAGAATATCAGTAATGTGTAGTATGTTTTTATGTATGTTCTCCGCGCGAATGCGTGCGTACGCTTATTTATCACATCTCAAGACCTTAAAACTTCAAATGTTTTTTTTTTTTTTTTCGTTTTTTGTAGGCAATAAATAAACACTTTTTCTGATACCATGAATTCCAACAGACCCTCCATCCTTAAAGTTTCAACTTTCTAATACTAATATAATAGCAATTCTCTTCGAAAATTGCACGACCCTTTTTTCAAAAGGGTTCTTCAAAAGATTTATTGTTTCTCTCTTTGTTTTCTCTGTCTACCTTCCCCCTCTCATATCTCCGTTTTTCTTGATAACGCCGACAGTAAATTTCATTTGGTATAAGTCTTTTTGTAGTCTGTTGTAGGTACATAATTTAATTTTATTGATTTTTCCTGTTCTTCACTAGATTTATCATTTAAATATAGAAATTAATAGTAATAAAACTCACTGAGCTGTGCTTTATCTGTGAATCGCATAACTATAATTTATCTATAGCATACTTTCCTAAAGTGAGCGTTATCGCTCCCCGGTGGGCGCTGAGGAGATCTGACAAAGTTAGTACGAATCAATGTGTTTTTAATCAGTTCTTTTAACATGGCTTTAGTCGTCCCGATCAAAATTTATTTTAAGCATCTGTTTTTTTGATAAAAAAAAAATGGCAATAATTTTATTTTACCTTGCATTATTGTTATAATACATACTTTTTAAGCTAATCCAACCTAATATTAAAATAGAGATAAAAGAACAAGAATTAAAAATTTTGATTTAATAATCATTTTTTTACTAAACAAATATTTATTTACTGTAAGTAAATGTTTAGTTGGCAGTATTGAACTAAATATTTATTAAAATTGACTATATTATTTTCTCAGTGTAGTAATAAATATCGGAACACAGCCTTCATCAGCGCTTTTAGTGGGGCAGGAAGAAAAGAAAAAATTGAAGCTGGAAATTATCGATATATTAAGCAATATCTAATAAGTGTGTGATCAAAATAATAAAAATAAAAAATCTTAAAAATACATTTTAATTAGTGGTTTTAAAAATCAATTTTGACCAGGTCAAAGTAAAAAAAAAAAAAGGTTTTTTGTCACCCTGAGATCTTGGGGAGGGGAGACGTTGCTAGTTCTAGAGTAGGGTAGTAGAAGGGCGTTAAGGAACAAGTGGGCAAAAGAAAAATTTAATTCCCGAAATATTTTTTTAAACAAACATTTAAACATTCATTTGATTATATAAATATTACAGAGCTACTTTATTCGCTTTCAACAGCATCTAATGACGTCATTAATTCGTCAGCGAATTCTTTCGACGCTGCTTCTATTCGTTTGAAGTTACTTCTTAATTTGTTAATAAATTTGTTGATGAAAGCTTCTACACAATCGTTTTTTATTCGCTAGCGTCTAAAATTTTGAAGTACAGCTTCAAATAGTCGCTGGTGATTAAGCGAATAACCGGATGACTTTAACAACGTTAAAAGAAGTTCTAAGACGCTTGCTGAAAGCGAATAAATCGTCTTTATGTAATAAAGTAATAATAAGGCTCAATATGTATAAAACAATATAAATATTAACAGGGCATAGAACCAGTATTACAACGAACAAATTTAATTCAAAATAATAATATTACAAACGTTTCGACTCCAATCGGGTCATTTTTAATGCAAAACTTTATCATAAAAAACGGCCACATTAGTAAAATCATAAAAAAAATATAATAAAAAAATAATTTTAACTTATCCTAATGTCGCTAGCATAATATTATTATAAAAAATTAATTGTAACATTTCCTAATGACTCAAGAACAATCTTGTCATTAATATAATTAGAGTAAATAATCCAATGTCTTAAATAACGGTTGCATTTGTGTAAAACATCCAAGAAACGAATAAATTAATAATAACATCTCCTGACATTATGCTCACGATGTCAGGAGTTGTTATTATTAATTTATTCGTTTCTTGGATGTTTTACACAAATGCAACCGTTATTTAAGACATTGGATTATTTAATCTTCTTATATTAATGACAAGATTGTTCTTGAGTCATTAGGAAATATTACAATTAATTTTTTATAATATTATGCTAGCGACATTAGGATAAGTTATAATTATTTTTTTATTATATATTTTTTAAGATTTTACTAATGTGACCGTTTTTTATGATAAAGTTGTTTTGCATTGAAAATGACCCGATCGGAGTCGAAACGTTTGTAATATTATTATTTTGAATTAAATTTGTTCGTTGTAATACTGGTTCTATGCCCTGTTAATATTTATATCGTCTTTATGTATTTTTACAAGAATCATACCAAATATGTTTTTTATTATGTGCAATTTTTTTCAGCTGTTTTCTCATACGGAATGATCTAAGTAAACACATCTGTGCATGTTTTGTTAAGTTCATAAAAAATACGAAGATAGCAATTCGCAGAAAATAAATTTAATTTCAAAGAATAAGTTCAATAAACTGAAAGTAAAAAAAAATGTCATTTTCTTTTCATTACATCAGCAGAAAATTTATTTTGTAACTATTGGAAGTTTTCTTCGATAAGATAGGACTTGAGAACCAAAGGTATAATCTAATCAACGTGAAGCGCTTACTAAACGCTGATGCTGCTAAAAACTAATGTTACAATGCCTTATTATACGCATGTTGACTCATGAGAGAAATGAAAAAATCTTCCAACTTCCAATCTTACTGGCTCTCTTCTCCTTTTTTAAAATAACGGAGATGTTATAGCTAGCAGAATAATAAAACATAAGATTATTGTATAACAATAAGAATCTTATTAGATTCGCGTACACATGCGAACACAATCAACAAGAATTAGGAATTAAAGGTGTATAACGATCTAAGCTGGATCTTTGATGCTTAAATAATTCAATGAATTATATATATACTATAATTTGTTTCGAAATGTGCAAATGAAAATCTATTGACCGAGACTAGTTAAATCCAATTTGCTTGTACTTGGAGGGACTAATGTGAAATTAGTCCCTCCCAAATTATTTTTTTTAAACTTTTTTACCAAAAGTGTACAAATAAAAATTTGAAATGTGCATACATGTGTAAATGATGAGCAATCAAACGAGCTACAGAAAGTTAATTTTTTCAAAAGCTGAGGGGCCAACTATACGGATCGACACTTAGCGCATGTTATACTAATAGGGTTTCATTGGAGATGATAAAATCGGTCTTGAGTATTTACATAAAAATAAATTAGTTTTTTCGCATATCATCTCTTGTGTGTATCCGATAATAGATCTGAATAAAATATATCTGAGGCTTTTTCTTCAATACGTAAATTAATCCTGTTTTTCTTTTCGAATATATTAATCGTGGATAGATGGTGCTTTTCAACAAGCGACACAATAGGCTTCTTGTTAAAATTTCATAAATAATAACGGTTCCAATAATTAAAAAATTAAACAATCCAAGTCCCATGTTTCGCATTTCACAATTAGTAGCTCGATTCGTTTACGGCTGTCCGTAGACAGAGGGCGGCGATTTAGAGAGAGAAGCTTGCAAACTGAGTACGCACACCATGCTATCCTTCCACCATGGCCAATATGGTGGTAAGTTTCTAAATCCAGCAGGAAAACAGGCATCGTGTGCCATAGGCTTTATATTCAGTTGCAAAACTCATGGTTATAACTCTTTAATTTGTTCTTGAAAATGGAAAGAGATGAGAAATAAGTTAAACCTCGGTTAAAAATAAATCGGCGAGTTACAGAACGTGCCTTACTTTTTTCTTTTTTTTTTTTAATTCTCAGAATTATAAAAAGATGAAGTTAGTCGAAATTAAAAGTAAACTACATTGGTACGAGCATTACTGATCTAAAAACGAAAGAATTTCGCGCCAACGAATTTCTTTGAATTGAAGCGTTGGTACAAACACATGCGTCTTAAAAATAACGACAAATATCTCCTTCAAGCGATAACACAGGAGAAAAATATCAGGATATCCTTGGGCAATACTGACCGAGATACGAATCTAATCTCTCTTTCCCTCTCTACGCGGCCATTATGCGACTAAAATTACCATTACCTCCTTACATCAATATTTTCTGTTTCGAATTATACAATTTTAATCTCGGTTTAATTTACTCTTTATCGTTTAATTTTTAGAAAGAGATAAAATCAAGTTAAATCGAGATAAAAAATTAATTTACATTGGTAAAAATGGCCAAATGACGAACGTTGTGGGTAGCGTGGGTAGCCTCGATATACCCTCAAGTTTAAGGATTCTCAATCGAAATTCTGATGTAACAGGATCGAACCTGCAACGATGCCGCTTACGCGCGCACAAAAAAACGTTAAAAAACCAGTCAACGTGGGAAAAATCGGCGAAGAAAAGTTCAAAATATACGAGATCTGTTAATTCTTGGTCTATTTTCTGTTCCTGCACTAGACTGTTCTAGAATTCTCTATCTCACTTTAAGTTCCAAAAGTGTACACTAGTTCAGCCATAAAAAACAGATCTTCTGTATCAGATATGGTGACTCGTTAACCCTAAGTGGCGTAGGCGTTTTCATAAAAAAAAACATCGATGCAGTACGCGCCAATACTGAATTACCACTTACATTTTCCGCTGGAAAAATCTATTGACTCAACTGTGGCGATACTGAAGTCACTTAAGCACACCCTCTTCACATAAATTCTCTCTCTCAAAAACTTTGCACGATCCAATCTCTCCACAACTCCTCGAGAACTCACTCCATCGACGACTCGATCAACTCTGAACACTGAGCAGCGTCCAGTCCATGCCTACGACATAAACTACGCAAAATGAACAAGATTTCCCTCCGACGGTGGACGCCGGACACTGAACGTAGTTTTACGCGGCAAGAAACAACCAATCACCTTCCGTGATGCCCTGACGTCGCTTGCAGCGCAGTTGGGTGATTGGTCACGTGGAAGACACGTGACCAGAAGGAAACGCAAAAGGTCTGTTTTTGTGGCTGAGCTAGTGTACACTTTTGGAACTTAAAGTAATAACGTTTTCGGCCCGATCGGGTTTGCACCAACCTGGGTTGGATTAATCTTTCTATTGGTTGACGTCGCCCGCTCTACCAATAAGAGGGCACAAAACGCCATTAATCCAACCCAGGTTGGTGCAAACCTAGCCGGGCCGAAAACGCTATAAGATAGATCATAGATATTTGTTTAAAGCGAGAAAGAGAGTTCTAGAATAGTTCAGTGCAGGAACAGAAAACAGATGAGCAATATACGGCGCTTGTGAGCATCAATTGTCCTTGTTTAATATTTACTAAACAACAAGGATGAAAGGATGCTTAAAGCATTGTGGACGCAAAAAGCTAACACAGCCACGGTGGTCCTTCGTCACTTCCTTAGTCACCAGAGAAAATCAAGAGAAAGTGAAGTGGATTCAGTCGGAAGCCGTCGTTTGTTAGAGTGAGTAGGAGATATGGTAGAAGCGTGATGGAATATACGGTGCTGCACTAGCATTGTACCGTACTAGTATCGTGTGTACTATATGCACACATGCACATTTGCGGAAGTGAGCGGAAAAATGACGAAACCAATCAGAGAAGAGAACGCTATCCGCCCACTCTTCCTTGATTCTGTCTGGTTACGCGATAGGTCGATTGATCCTGAACTTGTGGATTTGCCATTAATTTTGTCAGTTGTGTCGTTGCGCGGCAAAATCGGTCGTCATTTGTTTAACGGATGATAAAGAATGTAAAATATGACGTACGAGCATAGTGGAAGAAATTCAGGTGTACTTGTTTCAAGTTTCAACACTTTCAACTCGGTCTCAAGACGAACTTGCGGGATTGACCTAATCAAGAGGATCGAGTATCATTTTTAGAAGGAAAAAGATAAAAAAAGTAGCATATCCTTTATTTTAAGTTCCCGAAGCGGTATGATTATTAGGAAAAAATTAATATAATTAATAAGTAATAATTTATAATTAAATGTTTCAAAAACTGGGAATTAAAAATTATTATTAACCGATTAAAGGATTATAAGCACTTTAAAAGTGTCTGATAAAATACGATAAATATTCACATAAGTATTAACGTAAATAAATATTGACATAAATAAAACACGATAAATATTCACATAAGTATATTAACATAAATAAACATTGACATAAATCAATATTGACATATTAGTAGGAAGGTCTAAGTTGAAATTTTAGATGGAATTATATTTTTCGCAATATAAATTTCTTATATAAGTTTTTATAAGATTTTTGTATTGAGTTGCTTATCAATTTATAATGTAATATTACGTTTTCAGCATTTTTAGCTTTGGCGTTTCAAGATGGTAATCTACATGCGATTCAAAAGCATATAAAGATGAAATATATAAAATATCATTAGGCACAAGCACGATTGCCTCTCAACTAGTGTTCTACTGGAAATTGACAATCCTGCTGAAGATCTCACTATATTCTGTTAGAGATTGTTGACCACTTCGAAATTATTACTTTCTTGTAGTGTTCTCTTTAAACAAAAAAAATCAGATTTGGCCTTTCTATTGAAAATTGGATTGCCACTTTGGATTTTTGGGAGGGGAAGTTGACACGCATGCTGGAAAAAAGTTATTCAAATTTAGAGCAGATAGTTGAAGATTTATTTTAGGAGCTTTCCAACAAGAGACTTCTATTCGATCCAAAGTCAATACGAACCTAAAGTGTGGATAATACATAATATAATTGTGAATTTTGAAAATATCCTTTGTCCATAAATGAGCCAATTATTTTATACTTGATTGATTTTATTGTTATTTTATTTTTATTCATTAATTTTATCGCTGATCGTATATTTTTTATTGTTATTAGTTAAATAGAGTTTTTGTTTTTTCTCGAATAATTATATATAAACACTTTTTTTTTATTCCAAAAACATAAAAAAAGCTACTTTTATTTAATTGCACTTTTTATTTTGTTTTTGTTCGCGCGTTTTAACTAAAACAATTTGTTATACCTAAATACTAGAGAAATAGCGATAATAAATTACAATGTATCATGATTTTATTAAAATATTGAAATATTATCCTAATGCTGTTTTCACTTTTCATTTGCCACCTTTCGAAATACAAGAATTTTACATATAAAGAAAAAATCAACAAATGCGTTATACATATTCGATACGATTGAAGGTCTGGCTAAGAACCAGCCAAGTTTATATTTTCAAATATTACAAAGAAATCTATATATATGTACAATATATGCGTCATATATTTACAAAATCTTATTCTCGTTTTGCTACTATTTTTAACATGAAAATAATGCCTTCCACAAGTGTAATTGCAATATACAATTTCAATTGAAAAAAAAATCACTAAATGTCACGATACAAATTACTAATAAGAATGAGTTTGGTTGATTCTAGTAGCCACACCTACAGTTGTTATTAATAAAATTTTATATTGCATGATATATATCCCATATTAAAAATTTATACGGTATTTATAATTCATTATTTACAAGAGTCATATAATTAATTAAAATATAATTATTACAATAAACTATAAAGTAATCAAACAACAATGAACTTGCCATAAAAAATTTAACATCTGATCGATCAAGCTATATGCACATTTTGACAAGTTAAATGGATGGCAAGAGGTCCCTTGGACTTGAGCTGACTGTTTCTTGCGTGTGACCACGTTTCTGAGCACAAGTATGACATGTATGAGTTTACCTCTTCGAGGTAATAATGGCACTTGGCACTTGCATATGTATTCTATTATAATGTATAACACTGGAGAAGATGTTTCTAGAACCCGTCAGAGACGCGATATAAATATAAAATTGCAGTTTTTTTTTAATTTTTACATTATCCGAAATTCATAAAAATTTTAAATTTTATCATAATACAATTTTCCTCATTCACAAATCCCGATTATACTTACTACGAAATATGACAAAAAATGTAAAAATATGATAAAATGCAACTGTAATCTGTATATCACGTGATATGAGAAAAGTATAAATAAATGCAGGTGTCGCCAATTATCTCGCATGATCGAGAGAGCGTTATGTCCTATTACAATTTCCTGCTAGATTAAAAACGCGAATATTAAATAGAAGCCCTTTATACTTTTTGTATTAAAAATCGTTATCCCAACCAGAAATATCGTCGGGTGGCGGCGGATCGGAATCCGCTGGATAAGCGTCGAAATTCGTAGTGTCTGTAGCGCCTTGAACTCGTGGTAGTATCGGGGGTTCCAAAGTTCTTGTTTTTAAACCTTCCCAATTAAAGCCATCGAACCATCTATAACAAATCCACAGGAATATATTGTTCTGATCTTTGATTTTAAAATGCTAAGATAAGAATATATATACATATATATATTTACTTATGCTTCTGTATTTCACTAATGCCACCTCTTTGATATCCAAGACGTTCTGCTGGATTATCCCTGAAAAAGAACAATTAGTATTGTTAATATTAGTCAACAAATATATTATGCTATAAATATTTATCACGAAAAAAGAATAAAAATTCTAATATGTAAAAGTATATCACAATTTACCTGCAAAGCTTTTTGATGAGTGCCATCGCGTTACGTGTAATGGATCTAGGAAATTCTATAGCATCAATTCCTTTCAAGATAATATTATACGTCTTCATCGGATCAGCACCCGTAAAAGGAGGCGTACCCGTAAGCAACTCAAACATGAGAACACCAAGGGACCAATAATCAGCGCTTATATCGTGACCTTTATTTAGAATGACTTCTGGTGCCACATACTCTGGTGTACCACAAAAAGTCCACGTTTTCCTTCCGTTATCTAACCGTTTGGCAAAGCCAAAATCCACAAGTTTAACATATCTAAAAAATAATACGACAAAATATTCTAAATCCATCAAAATCTATTAAGTATTACGGAACATTTTTTTTATAATCCAAAATTAATGCATCAATATGTTCATAATTTTTTTTTTAATTTTCTCAAAATAATATATTATTTTATTATTATACGGAATATATTCTTACCCTTGATTATCCAAAAGTAAGTTTTCCGGTTTAAGGTCTCTATAGATGATATTTCTGGAGTGCAGATAATCGAATGCTTCCACAACACATGCAGTATAAAAGCGTGTAGTACCATCATCAAAGTATCCCTTGTCCCTAAGAACAGTCCATAACTCGCCACCCAAGCAGGCCTCCATCAGCATATAAAGATATTTTCTATCTTTAAAGGTTTTGAAAAGCTTGACTACAAAATCACAATCCGCTTCGCTCATAATCCTCTTTTCTGACATAATGTGCTGTTGCTGTCGTGTCTCGACGATCTGCGCCTTCTTCATTTGCTTCAGAGCAAAGGATCGTGTGCTGTCTCCGGCAATTTGGACTAATTCAACTCTTCCGAAACCACCCACGCCGAGAGTCGCAATAGTCCGAAGGTCTTGTAATCGTACATCCCGAAATTCCTCATTTAATCTAAAAAAATTGTAAGATTTCAATATAATTGTTAAACGGTACAAATTATTTCTTTGTTATGTTAAATGTATATTTGCAAATTGCAAAGAGGCTTTTCTACATTTTCGCCATGTTTTTGTACACAATTTATTAACAATATTAATAATATAATTTTATGCTAATAAAAAATTATCGATATTATTAGTAAATTGATATCTGTCTTTGTTTTACATAATATATTTTTGTTTTTATTACTGAACTTACTTGGAATGTATAGTTTATTGTCCCATCCTAATGTTTCAAGCGTGGAACATAATTAACATTTACAAATAATAGTGATTACAGCTATCTCTCTCTCTCTCACACACACACACACACAGACACACAATTCTAGGGTACTTATCTATTAATCTAATTTCTGTATAGTTAACAAAAGATATATATACCTCCTACGTTCCACCAACTCGTCCCTGTATCGCGTTCGAATTTCGTCCAAGGATGAGATTAATTGATTAAACGTTTCGCGGTCTATTACCAAACAATTCACTCCTTCTGGATCGTCAGCGATAATATTAGCAGTTCTGAGATCATCTCTATAACGGTGAAGTAAATTAGCATATATTTATATCTTGATCTTATTAAAATTAAATTAATTAAAGTGCGAAAATTTCATTAAAAAATATTACAATCTTGAGATATATTTAAACAAGACAGTAACAAATGACGTGGGATGTTTGTTTTCACAATAACAAAAAATCTTGAATGAAAATTGAAAATAATATTAATTATGCTCACCCTTGTAAAGCTTTCTCACCGAAGAAATCGCCTTTTCTTAAGGTTCTAATATATTTCTCTTCCGTTGTATCGGGCTGTTTTATTGTCACGCGTACTTGTCCTCTACTGATGATGAAGAATGTGTCACCTCTCGCTCCTTGTCTTATTATATAATCCCCATTGTTATAGAACGTCTGTAAATATAAAATTAATTATCAATTATGTAATTTAAAAGTAACGAAAGATGTTTTGTCAAGAAAGTCAGCTCGTACCTCTTCTAAAATATCCGAAATTTTGATTAGAGTTTCCTCGGGCAGGTTTTTGAAAATTGGCACGCTGAAACGTAAAATCATGCGTCAATTCTAAATGTATACAACATAAGATTATTTCTACAAGTTTTTATTAGATATTCATAACAGGTTACTACATATAAGGTTACTATTTAATCTTTTTAACTTGCGAAAAGGCTGTAATTCTCAACTCGCAGACATTACGTAAGAAAATATTTTCTAGATAATGGAATATTTTGTACGTAATTATTAGATATACAAAATATATTATTAAATATACAAAAAATATATAAATTCACATGAATTTATCTTTTAATACTGCCTCATTAACATCATTTACGATAGTTTTGCTGTAAACTGAATTATTGAGGAAACGTTGGATGACATTCGTATTTTACTATCTGTCGTGTTTTATACACACATATGTATATGTAATATTACTACTAATATTTTTCATAAATAATTATGTCATCAGTTACATCATATAAAAATTGATTGCGCCACGTTACCGATCATTAAACATGTAAACGGTTAATCGAGTTTTGCACTGTATTTGATGAAAGTCACGTTTTTTCTTATCAGAAAGAACGTGACTTTCATCAAACACAGTTTTATAATTATCCAAATTTAATCATTATCATACTTTAAATTAAGTCGTTCAAAATTTAGCATTCGTCATATTTTAAAAGTTGAAATTACAGATATAATCTGCAAACGCGGAACTTTATATTCCTAGTGCAATGGCAATAAAAAACGATCCGTTATTCAAAGAATATTCCATAATTCTGAGAGCGTAAGATATGCTAAAATATAATGACATAATTTTTGAGAAATATCAATTTTATGATGAGATCTTGTTCGAGACACAAAACATTGAAGACGATAATGATCAAATAAATAAATCAGGATAAGAAATTTATTTACTTAAAAGAAACTAAAATCGAGGATATAGACTATAGACGCAGAATTTTACATTGTTATTGTTATTAGAATAAAAAGCGAATCGCTATTCAAGAAATGTAGGTATAACAATTTAAAAAAAAAGACGTAAAAAATATCAATTTTTAGAAAATCTAAAAAATTTTATCACGGAATTTTGTTTAAAACAACATTTATATTTAAAGACAACAATGATTAGCCCAAAATTTTTTATGATAAAAAAAAACATTCAATTATGCAAGGATATATCTGACAGCATTAGATCAAAGTCCATTAGAAAAGTTTAGATATCATACTGATTTACCTCTTTAAGAAGTCCGTGTATTCAGCCTGTCTCGAGAGGCCGGTCCTCATCATAATGGTTTGGAAGCACTGCCGGTCGATGGCCCATAATTGACAATCAGTCGCAGCAGTGATCGTTGCTGTCCTCTTGCAATTGTAAAGAATCGCGAGTTCACCCAACACTTTACCATGTTGCAAAGTGCTGAGATATTTGCCGTCCCTCGATACCTCGACCTTACCCTCTGAAAAAGAATTTCAATCAGAGATCAGAGATATAATCTCTTGCTGTACGACGATTGTGAGATACTATTGATATGAATTTAAATAGTTTGTGCTGCTGAATGATTAATTTCGAGATCGGAATTTAATCGTCAATATTAATATTGTATTTATCATCTTAATTATGTATTGTCTTATACTATGTTTGTTCATATTAAAATGCTACTTAATTAGTTCGATTATTTCGATTTCATTCACGAACAAAATTAAGTAATTGTTATCGAAATTGCTAAATTTTCTCGTTCGGCTTGTAATTATTAGAGAAGATTAAAATTGTTATCCAGTTATAAATATATGCTATTCAACAGACCGGAACAAAATTCTGTAGTGGAAAAGTTGACTGTTTATCTCTCTCCAAAACTAGTATTAAAATTAATTAATATCTTAAGAGTTGACCTAGTCGTCCAGTGACCATCGACGTGTTTACTGAAATGTGAAACTAGAAATGTAAAACAGTAGCTCTTGTCAAGATATATTGGCGGACTGCACAAATATTCTAACTCACGTTCGATTTCCTTGCTTTGAAAGCTATGGAACAGTTCTGAATATTAATAATCAATTTTTACGTCGCGCAAGTCAGGTGATATATTCCTGATGGTTTACTGACATTTCTAAATCAATTAAGCGTACGTCGTTACTTTTTTAAGCATGTCAACGCTCATTCATGTCTTATCGGAAGGACTTGATGACTTCTTAGAAAGATTGCTTTGTACAATGTTAAGTCATGACAAGCTCGCAGACTGCTGTGCAATTACATGCTTTGAATATATGCTATGTGACATTCTCTACTAATATCTTTCTAGTGTACAGTTGATTATATACTTTGGAGTACCTATTGTAAATGCATTATCTATTACAAAAAATATAGATGGATGATCTTTGGATTCATATATTGTAAATGCTTTCCAAAGTGTTACATCTTATTTTCATCTTAGAATTATCGTCTTAATTTTAGCTCAGAAATATGTCACTAAAATTAATGTCGCGAGCTGTAAGACATCCTGTATACGGGATTTGCTAATGCAACAATGGTAATAAATTTCAATCATTTCTTACAATCTCAACATTTCTAACAATCTTATAATTTGTCTGAAATTCTTTATGTTGTATTCTCTTACTAAGACAAAATACTATGAGTATCTGTAATAGAAACAATATTAAACAAAGTATCTCTAAGACCGTAATGCGAATACACAACAAATAGGAAAAGCCCTAAACGGTCAAGCTATATTTTCATTCAATACTTATAATTATATAATTCAATATGAATTTATATACTCATATCCAATCCTGCAAACTGAGCGCCGAATTTAATTTTCAGTCTTGAAACGCAAACCTAATAGAACTGGAGTAGTAATATCACAAATTAAATTGATAATCTGTAATACAATTTTAATCGCTCACGCGATCTATCATGATTTTATGATGCGATATTACATATATCAGTACATTTCTGCGTAAATTGCGAAGGAAATATTACATATGATTCTCTTCTGTAGAACTGCATATAAGGGGGTCGAATCAATCAAGAGAGGATCTAGGCATCTAGGCAGATTACGCAAGTCAAAGTAGCCTTCCTTTTTTACCGCCATATCATTCGTCGCGACTCAATCGAGTTCGACATTGCGACAGGACAGTCCACGGCCACGTATTGTCCCGCGAGCGTTGCTTTCACTTCCTCGCGCATAACGCCTATAGTACGAGTCACACAAGGGTCTCCGAACCGGTTCCGTTACCGATCGTGACTCGCGCGAGATGGATCGTATCTTTCGCCATCGAAGTTAACCATCGAGTTAAACGGCGGCTATTAATAAGCACGCGCGTCGGTATGCTCCCGTCTCGCGGAGAATGCCCCGTACGATGTCCTGTTTGATTCCATGCATCCGTTAGCGGCAATCTCCCTTTGAGACAACGCGTCTCATCGACACAGGCGGTCTTGCAGCATGCGTACGTTATGAGTCACGAGGTACAGTTGGACCTCCGTATTCTTGACTTATTGAGATCGAGCGATTTCTCTATTCTTGGAGCTCCGCTATTTCCTCACTGCAGCCTAACTACTGCCAGAAATCGCACACAGAAAGAACAATTCTACTGAAATATGTACTAATCTAGCTGGATACAAATCTGAAACTAATTTTGTTGGACTATTCAAAAGAATTATATAAGAAATTTAAGCGTGATGAGGAATGCTACAAAAAGTTTGACATTTTAATAATTAGCTTTTGTGTGTGTGTGTGTCCTACATAATTATTTTGACAGTCCAACAAAATTATTTTCAGATATGTATCTAGCTAAATTTTTTGATACTTCAGCAAAATCGTTCTTTCTGCGAATTCTGTTCTTTGCATTTAAAATAAATCAGTTTTCTCATACATATAGATCGTATTTATATAATATATGTGTAGATTGATAAAATGTTCTCTCTTTTTATTATCTTATATTATATCTATGATATTATCCTCTTACATTTCTCTCTACGTATTTTTTTTTATTTTGTGTATTTCTTTTCTTTAATTTTCTTATTTTAACATATTATTTATTAATAATAATTCTTATTTTTTATCACACATTATTTTATTTATGTACTACCGGTTTTTTTATTTTCTGTATACTTATTTTTATATATATATATTTTTTTTCTTTATCATTATTATTTACTGTATGTATGTCTTTAGAAGGTTTGCTCTAAAATGATATAAATGCTCTATTTAGCTATCTATTTATCTATATTAGTAAATATACATGCGATTCTCAGCACGTGGTTCACGTTTCCAAAGATAATGGATTATGATTTATGATCGCCGATCAAGATTTATAGTAGTCAATTGTCGATTCACAGATAAAAAAAAAGTCTTCTCAGAAAATTCAAGAAAATTCCAGAAAATCATTGATAAGAAAAGTATTTAATCATTCGAGACGCGAAGGAAACTATTCTCATGGAAATAGGTCAATATGACGCGTGCTTCTTTTCACAGATTTCATTCTTGTTAGTACACATTCGCAAAGTTGCATGAATTTGCATACGTGATAAAAGCACATATAATAGAAGCTGATATGATCGCTTTTGTATTAACGACTACGTGCCCTAAATTCAGAACAATAGACTGTAAGATGTGCAAATTCGCGCGTTATTTCGACGATGATCGCGAGGATAAACATCGGTTTAATTACAACTAAAATCCACTTTAGATTTATAATTTATCTAAAATGAACTATGGACAATAACGTTTATTGATAAATTTCGATATTATATCTATTTTTTAAATGCAATTGCGCATCAATTTAAATAAGACTAATTGTAAAGCCGAGATATATATATTCATAGTCCGTTCTTATTTCAAGATTGTCTTAAGTAACGCCTTATAAGATGCTGGTTCTGAGATATGGTTCTCAGTTATGATTCAGTAGTTGGTTTATGACATCTCAAAGCCTTGCTCCACTAATGTAAGATTAACTTTAATCTTGGTTTAACTTACTTGTTTATCTTTTTTTTAATTCTTAGAATTAGGACCGAGATTAAAGTTAATCTTACATTAATGGAACCGAGCCTAGCTAAAACTGTACTTAAGACGATAGTAAATATATATAAGAATCGATTATGAATATCTGCTTAAGACTTTCTTCTTTATTAATATAGCATAAAATTACAGTAATTTCCAAATTATAAAATTTAAGTAATTTTATGCTGTAAGTATGGAAATATATGAAAATTGTATTACAAAATCACTCGTTTAGAATGCGTAAGAAAGTCTAGAAAACTCGGAAAATGTTGATAATGCTTGCGTGCGCGTATTACAAACTTTGGAAAGTGTACATGATTGCAATGTTAATGAAGAAACAACGTTGAGATTTTGACGATGAATTGCGTGCCGCGAAACGACTATAAGATTATAAGTGGAAGATGCCAACGATTAAGCTACATGTAGTTCGACATTCGATTACGAAAATTTTTGTAATTACAAAATATAATGTAAAATTAAATATTTTTGTTATACGTAATTAACTAAATTAAATAATTAGAGAATTTCTCAAATAAGATTTATAAGAGTCTATAAATAGAATAACATTTAAAAATATTACGATAAACACGCTCACACAATTAAATCTCTCAAATATTTAATAACTATTCTTCATAAAATTACTATTAATAATCTAAAATAAAATAAATAAAAGTTATCCTTCGATACGAGTATTTACAAAGATATTTTAGATTCATTATTGCTCACACGTCCATTCGAGAAAATAAAAAAAGCAAACTCGACAAATGGCATCTCCCTCATTAATGTCAGTTATCTTGCGTAAAACTATTGTGCTCTTATGCACACGATTCGCACAATGAAAACCTTTCGATTTGATTGCTACGAGAATAGAAGCGTCCAAGTTTGAATGCCACTTCGAGAGTCGCGGAACCGAATATCGGCAAAGTCATACTCTTTAGTCTCTGCATGACTATTCCGTTTAATCTTTACGAATAATGTGCACCGATATTCATAGCGTATTATAGATAATTACATAACTACGCTGTGAAAGTCGAGAGAATTGTCCTTCGCACATCTTTATCACTTTCGCAAGAATAAAACAACCAAGTCCATTGGTCACTTTCTGCGATGCGTTTCGAAAAAGGAAAAAAAAAACTCATGAGAGCATTCTCTTACATGACGCCCTGCTTATCAAAACGTAGATGTTCCTGATGTGTCATCGTTTCACCAAAACAATCGATTATGCATATCGTTTGTTTAACAAATATTCAACGCTGCGCCGAGTACATTTTATAAACCGCGAATTGTCGATCTTAGATGACTACGTCGCGATTAATCACTGCAAACTATTCTACATCACCTCGTATTAATATTTATAACTCATCGATATCTCGATGTCGGTTATATATTTATAAATTAAGATATCGCGTAAAAATAGCAATAACAAAAACGTTTGTTTATTATCATCATATATTCTTCTTATC